CCATCTGAATAGGCAGATGGGACCTTGGTTTAACGCCTCATCCGAAGGACGATCTTTGACAATGCAGCACACCCCCAGCACTGCACTATATAGGTTCCAAGCATTTCTTCAACGCCCACCACCCCAACCCAACACACACACACACTCACATTTATATCATCATTTCTTTAAGACTTTTTGGTCACCCTGTACAAGTGACCTGCATCAGATATATCAAGTTATGCAATGCTAAAATAAGGTCATTTCTGCAACCTCATATTTCTATGTCGCTGCCTGTGGATTGAGTGTACTGATGGGAGGTTGGAGCATGTTTTACATTGAATTGCACGGCAGCATCCCACGAGCAATGCACAAGTTCTAATTCAAAGGCTGCATTTTCGACAATTTTGCGCTTACTGAAAATGAAGACTTAGTCTCTTTAAAATGCAACTCCCTTTAAAAGTAGCAGTGCAATTATTAATAATAAAAATAATCCTTGGATTTGATAATAGCACCTTATCACATCGTCGAGACATCCCAAAGCTCATCACAGGATACATTGTAAAGTGGATTGACTGTGTATTTTGTGGGAGAAATGCGCTAGCCAATTGCACACAGCAGTGTCCCACAAACAGTTGTGGATTGAGTGACCACATTTTTTTTGAGGGATTATTACCCCTGGAAAGGGATGCGCCAATTGACTAACAACCAATTAACAACCTTGGAAGAGAATTTTTTTGAGAGACATGAACAAAAATCCCTCAGGAACTTTCTATCTGTTTGATCATCCCAAGTCTGAGCTACCTGCACTGCAGCCTGTCAACCATTCATTATGTGCTTTCCCAGATCAAGTTAGTACAACAGCTCATACTTATTTTATAGGGCTGTTCCTGCAGAGTAATAATAAACACGTAGAGACACTTTAATAGATAGCTGACAGACTCTGATAATGGCACATCCACTCCATGAATTTCTTTCTTCACAAATAAAGCTACTGAAGTTATCGTCTCAACCAGTCTTTTAAATGCCAGTGATGGTTTCCGTGGAAACAGGGCTGAATCTCTCTCTCCTTTTGGCTTAAATATTAACAGCCCAGCCAGCAGCTTCAAAACAATTAAAAGGGACAGCGCTCTACAGATAAAGCATTACAGAGAACTGTCCATCAAAAAAGTATTCATTTGTGATGATCTGATTTTGAAAAAAAATCTAATATAATCTAATAATATAAAAATGATCAATGATTAGAACGTATCAATGCTTAGAATTGTGTCGTGTATCAGCCTGGCTCAGTTGGTAGCACCCTCCCCTCTGAATCAGAACGTGTGGGTTCAAGCCCCATGTTGGGACTTGGAATCACATACTCGACGCTGACGCTCCAAAACAGTGCTGGGACGAGGGGGTTGCATTGTCGGAGGTGTTGTCCTTCAGGTTATGTGTTAAACTGAAATCCTGGACATTAAAGATCCAATGGCTCGATTCAAAAAGAGAAGGAAGTTTCTCCCTGTGTTCTGGCCAACAATCCCCAAAATGAAATTGGTCTATTTGTGGGACATTACTGTGCGTAACCAGTTACCCCATTTTGTCCACAAAATAGATAAGTCAATCCACTTTACAGCATATCCTGTGAAGCACTTAAGACAACTCGACAATGTGGTTTGGCGTTATATCAAATGCAATTATTATTTTTGGAATATTATGCAGAAAAAGTGGTCCATGACTGGTGCAATACCACACCTCTCTCAAGCAAAATCCTCAGCAGCTCATCACAGTAACTCTAATGGATTGTACCTGTACTGCTGGATTGTGCACTGCTCTGCCTTCATAAAGGCTTTTTTGTTGGTTAGTCTGGTTTCTGACACAACACAACAACAAACAACAAATTACATCTGTATAGTGCCTTTCACGTCCCAAGGCGATGAAACATGCGGAAACCCATCACTATGCTCAAGTACATTGTACTGAAGATTAAAATTAAAACAACAACAACAAATTACATTTGTATAATGTCTTTCACATGAGCATGGCTAAAATAATCTCTCATTCGAAAGTCAGCCATGACATTTCAGAGTGCTCCCATCCACGTGACCCCTGATGCCCACAGTGTTACAATATTTATGCAACAGATGGGCCAAAGGCTACAGAACACATCCATGACTTGTGTGCTGTGTGGTTGGGTGCACTCACTGTGCTTCTCTCACATCGTGCTGTGAGACACCTTGTAGCTATCAGTCCGTGACTCGGTTGCCCCGCTGTTTACTGAACACATTATTTGCGCCCTCATTGTTTCAACGTAATAACCCTGAAGTCGCAATGAACAAAGTCTATTAATACCACAATGCAGGATGTCTTTTTGAACTCAGTTCAAATTCCTGCTTAATGCTGTGACTGTCTGTTCAGCTCCTGCTATTTCAAGATTGGTTTGCTGTACGTGGCAATTTTCCAGGCAGGGCGAAACCTTGGGCAAGTTTCCTTACTCACACACCTAATAATAATCCCTCCAAAAAACAAAACAATAATAAATTGGTGATTTTCAATCCACGACTATTTGTGGGACACTGCCGTGTGCAATTGGCTGCCACGTTTCGCCCACAAATATACGATCAATTCACTTTATAGTGTATTCTGTGAAGCACTTTGAGACGTCGAGAAGATGTGAAAAGCGCTATATCAAATGCAAGGATTATTATTATTATTATTGAAACTGCAAGTTCTGTTTGAACATCCAAATAGCAGGGAGGTGACCTGACGACTGAATTATGAGATTATCAAACTATGATAATGTGAGCTATTGAGCTAGTTCCCTGCAGTGACATTGATTTTTACATAAAATTGATCAGACTTATTTTTATCTGTTCAATTGCATTCATTTTTAAATGAGCATAGCTCAGTGTCTGAATGAGGCCCCCATTCATATCATTTTCCACTTGGGACAATTATTTGAGCTGTCAAAAATACAGCCAATATTCCGAACCAAATCAGGAGCAGCCTCCTCTGGTGCAAGACTCAGAAGACGAGATCTCCAATCTACATTGAAGCAAAAAGAGGCTGTGCAGCATCTGTGAACACAGATTCCAAAACAATATTCACCTCAGGGTGCTAACAGTGAGATTGTAAATTCTTGTCAGGGGAAGCACTATACAATACATAAGGTGACAGTGCTCAGCTTCCTCACACAGTCGAGAATCTGCTCCTACTATATTTGAGCAAGAGTTACGTTTACTCAGTCAAAAAGGGAGATGATTTACCATTTCTAACAGGAGTCTTTAAAAAGGAAACAAAGTGACGCTGATCCATGGGAATGTCTCACTTGATTTCCCTGTTAAGGAATCTAGCTGAAAATCAACACATAAATCCCAATCTCTCCTACAACCCTCCCCCCACCCTCCTTCCCACATACACACATACATAATTCAAATATGAATTCTAATAATAATAACAATAGTCCTTGCATTTGATATAGCGCACTATCATGTCGTTGAGACATCTCAAAGAGCTTCACGGGATATACTGTAAAGTGGACTGTCTGTGTATTTTGTGGGTGAAACACAGCAGCCAGTTTCAACAGAGCAATGTTCCACAAATAGCCATGGAGAGAGTGACCAATTATTTGCGAGATTTGTTGGCCAGGACACCAGGAGAAACTCCCTTTTCTTTTTGAATAGTGCTACGGGATTTTTAACATCCACCTGAACAGGCAGATGGACCTCGGTATAAAGTCTCCCCCAGCATTGCATTGGAGTGTCAGCATAGAATATGTTGTGGGCTTGAACCCACAACCTTCTGACTCAGAGGCGAGATGGCTACTACTGAGCCAGGCTGACACACACTATGAAATGCGAAGTAACAAAGATCTGAACACTTGCTCTCCAGACAGAATAATAAGCCTTGCTTTTCATATAGCACATTGTCAAGCTGTCAAAATGTCTCAAAGCACTTCAAAGATTTACAATAAAATGCTTATTGTAGGTGGATGCTCCAGCCAATTTGTGTACAGCATTGTCCCATGTACAGCCAAGAAGTGAATCATCAATTTTATCTGGGGGAATATTGATCAGGACACTGGGAGAAACTCTCTTCTCTTTTCAAATAGTGCCAAATTTTAATAAGGGGATCTTTTACGTCCACCTGAAAAGACAGATGGGACTTCAATTTAACGTCCCATTCAGTATCTCTAATAATCCAGTCCTCCCCCATACATCCTGTGAAGCATTCTACCAACATTTCAAAGATGCTATAACAGATGCAAGAATTATTTTTTTATATCACAAAGCATCTTCAGTTATATAGCAAGGTTGGAAACAAAAACAGACAATAATTCTTAGAGAAAGGGTGAGAGAACTTGGGGCAGTAAATACTTAGGAAGAGTATTATAGAGAAGAGGTAGGGAAATGGGATTAAAAGATCTGGTGAACTGGTGAAACTGGCTCAATGGGCTGAATAGCTCCTCCTATTCTTCTCATCCTATTAACTATGGGGAGAGGGGGAGAGAGACTTTTTTCTACAAAAAGCTTTTAAGTTTTTTCAAAGTAGAGGATAAAACCATAAGCAATTTAAACTATTTCCTCTGTGCAGCCAGTAGTAGCAGCGAGTATTCCCAGATCAGACACAGCATGAGATAAAACACAAGGTTTCATCTCCACTGTCCCCAAAGCGTCTCTCAATAGTAACTGCAGATGAGTATCAGTAGGACGCCATCATTTCCCTCATTGCATGACCTTTCGGCATGAGAATGCACTAATTAATGTGGAGTCTAGTTCTGGGCTATTGAATCCTTGTCCACTGATAAATGAAATGAGAATGCCTGATTAAAATTTGCTTGAAACCCTGAACAGTCATCACACACAACTCTAGCTGCTCAAAAACATTTCCAAAGTCACACAGATCCCCTAAACATGTCAATTGTAAGCTGCAAAACCAACAAGGTTTCATAAAAGAGCCAATTAAATAACTGCCCGTCCTGCCAGATTTATTTCTGTGTTCACAAGAATGCTGGATTTCGTTAAATCAGACTGCACACGTACCTGAGGTTAATGGTCAAGGTTTGCTCCTCTGACTTCAGCAGGTCGCCTACTACAAACGTAGCAGATCCCAGGAAGCTTCGCTGTAACCCAGAAAGAATAAAAAGTCTTCATTAGCTTCAAAATCCATGAACATGACAGCTTCAGCACAATGTCCTGCCTTACAACACAACACAACAACAAGACGGAAGAAGGAAACAGCTGAGTAGATCTATTACCCTGCTACAATTCACTTGTAGATCAGTGACAGAGCTATCAATAATGTTTGGCTTAATTTACTTCTGGAAAGCAGGGTACCTTTCACATTACCAGAGATCAATCTGGGACTGAATGGGAAAACAGTGAACTGGAGAATAAAAATGTTGCCTTTTTATAATTTAAAAACATGGGAAGTCAAGGAGTGACCACCTCAGTCACAAAGTGACATCCAGCTTCGATTCAACACCTACATCTTTGATCGCGCCTTTTTCCCCTCCCCACCCCTTTGACTCCCATCCCCAGCTCAGGTACTCAGCCACCAGTGTCAGACTCTTTGAGACATCCTAACGATATGAAAGGTAAACGCAAATTTGTATTTGTGTTTTCAGGATAAAAACAAGCTTTGCAGGAAATCGTTTTAAACAGTGTTGAACACTTACATGTCTCGGGGCCCAATGTCCTGAATGATCAAACAACTACAAAATAATCACATACTCGCAGCCTTTGTTTCATAATTTGATGATAAAGCAATCCCAGAACTTGAACACTTAACAGCCTGACCAGAAGGTCATGGGTTCGTGTCCCACCACTCTAAACTGAGTGCTTGCCTGTCAGGATGGTCAGGAGCCTTCTGGCTGATCACAACCAACATTGGTGACTTCTGTGAAAACATTGCATTTGATGTAGTGCCTTATCACATCTTCGAGATGTCTCAAAGCGCTTCACAGAACATACTGCAAAGTGAATTGACTGCACATTTGATGTGAACTTCAACCAAACAATGTGACAGTCAAATTTTGGGTGAAGAAGAAAAACTAAGTATTTCTGACATGTTTCTGAGAGGACCTTTAACCCGTGAAAGTAAAGTGTGCATCCGTTTTTAAGATTCCTTTACAGCTGAAGGATGATACTGACCAACAGACCAAGCATGTCAACATAAGTGACCAATGAGTCACCAATTAAATTGTGTAAATATAGTTCTTTTGCATATTTCACTAATGTTCATTTTCCTGACGTTTACGTGTTGTCAGGTACTGGATGGCATCTCACCAAAGAAGTGCATGCCCTGTCAGTGTCAGCCCAACTCTCACATCCTATGAACTGGATGAAGCTGTGCAAAGGCAAGAGGCTGTGTGGGATGAGTGTGCTTGTGTTTGTGTGCAAGTGAGTGATTGAGTGTCCAAGTGAGAGTTAATGTGCGAGTAAGTAAGCAACCATATATCCGGGAGAAATAAAGTGAAGCAAAATGAAAATAGAAACCCCTTATGCAACAAGTGGTCATCACCCTGTGAGTTATTGACACAGTGCTTTCACCTCAGCTTTTTTGTGTAAATGAGATGATATAATAACCACAATCAAACTCTTTGAGTGTGACAGGAAATGCTCCTGACTTTTTAACGGACAGAGAAATCCTCAATGAGATTTGTGCAGAAGAGACTTATCGCTTTGCTAATAATAAAAATAATAATAATCCTTGCATTTGATATAGCGCCTTATCATGTCTTCGAGCCATTTCAAAGCGCTTCACAGAACAGGTGAACGTCAACCAAAAAATGTGACAGTCAAACTTTGAGTGAAGGAGAAAAACTAAGTATTTTTGACATGTTTCTGAGAGGACCTTTAACCCGTGAAAGTAAAGTGAGCATCCATTTTTAAAAGTAGTTTCTGCTGGAGTTGCTCATTTAAATTTGCAAAATGACCTGCTAAGGGCATTTTCTTCGGTTCCATCATGTTCTGTGCTTTTGTTCTGTATATTTGAAAACCATGATCCCATCTGCCTGGAGAGAGCATTTATTTCGGGTACAAAACTACAAGGAAACAAGGAGTGGGTCCTGTTACACTATTACTCGCAATGTATACTATTACACAGAATCAGCCAGTACGCAGCACAGGCTGCTTCCCTCAGGTGCCTGCAGACTATCAGCTGAAGGAGAGACACAATCATTAGTTTACGGCTGACTAAGCTTATTTCTAGACTTCATACTAATGTGCACAAATAGACTCCACAGTTACCAGTGACTGTATTTCTAGGCAAATGAGGCAGTCAATTTGCGCACAGCAGTGTCCCACAAATACTAATGCAATGAGTGACCAATTTTATTTTAGGGGATTGTTGGCCAGGACACCAGGAGAAACTCTCTTCTCTTTTTGAATAGTGCCATGGAATCTTTACCATCCAACTGAACAGACAGACAGGGCATCAGTTTAACGTCTCACCTAAAGGACTGCAACACTGACCCCAGTATTGCATTGGAGAGTCAGCCCAGACTATGTGAGTTTTAAAGTCCTAATGTGGGGCTTCGACCAACAACCTTCTGACTCAGAGACGAGAGAGCCACTAACTGAGCCAGGCTGACATATACGTCACATTGCGTGTGAGATCTCGGCTCCAGAAATACATCAGTGTCGCGACTGGGTTCTCACAAGGCGATGTGACATACTCGAGTTTTCCCACAGGAAACGTGCTTCACATCTTCAAACTCTTTATCCTTCATCTGCCAAACAACCCCAGTGAGTGAGTTTAGGCCTGTGCATAAATACTGAAGTGTAATTAAATGATGTGAAGCAAACATTTCTTTCCTTCATCGTGCTTCCCAAAAGGGGCTGTGACTCATTGCTGTCTGCAAGTTGGGAGCCCAGCAGAGCCTGGCTGCTTTTCCATCAACCACATTTGCCAGCATCAATGCAAATAATTTTTTTTACCTTCCATATCTACAAGTTACACGTTTGTGGTTGTGAATTGCATATTGGCTCCCTCTGGCCCAGTAGCTTTCTCACTGACAGAATCCCCGCTGTGTTCCTCTGTGTCTTTACATATGGTTTGCTTCACACTGCCAGTTTCCATGCATCCTCCTCTGCACAGCTGTAATAACTGGGAGATTTCCGGAACCAGGAGAATTTTTTTTAGGTTAGGCGAGAGTCTGATACATGTGGAGACACACCCAAAGCAGAAAGAGAATTGCACAACCTGCATGTCATATTCCGAAAGGTATTTGGCGCAGTTTGGTAAGAGTCAAGGTTTGGGGATCCCAGAGTGTGTGTAGCCTTGTACAGTGATGAATGAAATGGTAACCCAAGAAAATCCTATCTAGCCCCTCTCCCTCCCTTTCTTCCTCGCACACAATCTCCTCTTCTCTCTCTGCGCTTTGCTCTATACACACACACACACACACATATAGATCTATGCCCCCCTCTCTTTCATAAACATAATATACACTTGTATAAGTTACACCAAGTATACAAACTTACTTTTGCTGCAGCAAATCAAACAGTTGTCCAATTGTACAAAGTTATGTTATTTAGACAGGCGACTCCCATCATTAGCAATCTGGTGAGTATGGCACAACTTCACACAATCGTGCAACTGCAAGCTTTTTGCTAATATCTTGCAGCCCTGCATCACTTCCTATTCAGACAGTTGGCATGAGATAGACAGTGTTCTACACAAGTCCAATTTAGGTCAATTCAAGATCTTAGCTCAAATCTGCTCAACCTAGTATGTCTTGTAGTGAAGCTCCCACCACACTAGCTTTCGAGAATCCAGTCGCGAAACCCTATTCACTCTCTTTTATTTAATGCATTTTGGCAGCATTCTGATATTGTTGTTGCCGCTCTCTCGCATGCTGTAAATGGTACAAATGCATACGTTCCAGGTCTTTTGCAAGCATCAGCAAATACATTCCTCGCCCTACTCAGCTATCCCCCAATCAGGGTTGAAAATGCTATTGCCAGAAAGGAAGCAGCATCAACCTCACATCAATATCAAAAGAATCACCTTTGGACATAGAGTGAATTTCCTGCAGGAAAGTCCACATATACCACATTGATCCACGTTACCCCAGCTTCAAACAAGAATGTTGGCAGCTGGCCTGATATATGGGGGAGAGGGCCTTATGCAGGAGATGTAGCCCCCACTCCACCCCTCACCTCAGAAACCCTTTTTCTGGCATAAAAGTAGCTCAGCTGTGACAAGTAAACAAGTGGCCCGTTTACCCTTTCAAGAAGGAATAGCATGTGGAATATAGGAACGAAGAGGCTTTAGTTGAAAAAAAATCCACTTGGGAAAACACAAACAATAAAAGCACTTCAGAGATAGAAAATGATGCATGTATTACATCAAAGAGCAGATGTTTGGCACCGTTTAGCACCCGTCTGGTTCCTGGCAATGTAATAGAACAGGACCCTATACACCCTTCTGTCATTCACCTGCCACATGTACAATGTTTAGAACACTGATCATGTTAATAACTGGTTATAAGTTAGTGGTACACTTACTTCAGCCAGTTAGGATGTTTAATTTAGAACCAGCCCAGAGGACTCCTGAATAAACGCCTTCCTGTGCAGATAGCAACAAACATGTCATGAAACCTGAATAGATCCAAGGATATTTATACCATTGATAATACCATCATAAGGAACCTTTTAATCCTCTTTCATCCATGCATTGGATTATTGTATCTTTATATAGCTTCCAGCTCAGACAGTCAGGGAGCAAATCATTCAGAAAGATGGTACATTCCCCCTCCCCTCATCTTCAAATAAACACAGAATCCACACTTTCTGTCACACATTTTCAATACAAGTACGTTTTCTGTTTTAATTTCTTAGTTTTAAACCTTGGTGAAACTGCTTTTACTTTCTAATCTTTCTGAATGGCTAGCACCACACATCGCTCAGAGATTAAACATTGCTGCTGATTTCTCATTTGAGCCTCAAAGCCAGTGTCATCCCAAGGACCTGCTCCTTCCAATCATCGCTCAACCACTGGAGACTGTCATGTCTGTCTGCAAATGCCAAGCGACCATTAGCTGGGAGCAACAGAGCACAGTTAAGTACTTCCTCTTCAGCACAGTGATCATCAACTATTTCCACTCTAACAAAATTC